ACCAAAAAATACATTTAAACAAGGCTGTTTTTGTTAATTTAATTACATAATTGAATAGATAACATTTCTCTTTCTTTCCTGGTGTTTATTTGGTGTTCTGCCTGGTTTTTCTCTTGCAGGTAGTAAGTTTTCTCCACACAGTCTTGCTGTGTGACAAACTGGATTTTCGGACAGGTCTGGTCGTGTGTCCACTCAACACTGCCTTGAACTGGCTGAACGAGTTTGAGAAATGGCAAGAAGGTTTAGAAGATGAGGAGAAACTAGAGGTAAGAGGCTTCAAAAGAGTTCTTCATGAAATAACTGGATGATTTGCAAAATTGGGAAGCTCCACCACTTAAAATAAAGGCTAAGAAATGTGCTTTAACTATGTGAAAAATGTCCTTGAATTAATATATCAGAACTATTAAAAATTAACCACTACTGAATATTTTAAGAGGAATTAAAGGTTTTTTTACCTCTTTGGAAGGTTTATGAGCTGGCAACTGTGAAAAGGCCCCAGGAGAGGAGCTACATGCTGCAGCACTGGCAGGATGAGGGAGGTGTGATGATCATTGGCTACGAGATGTATCGAAACCTGGCACAGGGCAGGAATGTGAAGAGTAGAAAACTTAAAGAAATATTTAATAAAGCTTTAGTCGACCCAGGTAAGTGAAAATTTATACAGCTTGTATAGTTTGGACTTGCAGGTTTATGTATATGAGCAAAGATAATAAATAGTGTTGGTAAGATTCATCAGATTTTCTTTGCTGAGTTACAGAAATTTGTTCAGAATCTCTCCCATCTGCTTTTGTAAATAGATTTCTGTAACAATCTTTTCTATTAAATCAAATACAAGGAATTTGTAACTTTCCCTGTTAAGTATTTTTATTTGCTGGCTTTGCTTCCTTTGCAAAGTAATTTGAGTTTTTTGTTGAGCACCCAAGGCTGTTTTAATCTGTTAATTTGTTACAACCACAAGCTGTTTTGTCCTTGATGGAAATCAACCACTAAGGGGGCAAGTACACTTGAAAATAGACAGTGTACCTTAGAAGTGTGAAAAAACAAGTGTTAATGAAGTGCTAATTAAGGGAATAAATAATAATAATAACTGCAGATAAAGCAGTTAATTATTTTTTCAGTCTTGGGAAACAGATGTCTGGTTTGAGCTGAGCTGAACATAGCAAACTTACATCAACATGTTTGGAAGCACTTGAAAATATTCCAAGTTGCTGTAACTGATTTCTCAGGTGGTCTCCAAAAAGGACTAAAAATTTTAGGATTAGGATCGTTCACCAAAATAGCAACATTTCTCTACAAATTCTGAACTGGCAACTGATACCTAAAATAATTTAGGGTTATGCTGAATGCCTTAAAAGATGGTTTTAAAAGTTTTTACAACTTTGCTGTACTGTTGGTATTTCTCCTTGAGAATGCAGGTATGGAAGGCAGAGTAAGTGGAGCTGGATTTTCTTAAATTTTAATTATCTGATGGACTTTACATT